AAAGAAACTCCATGAAAGACAAGAATCTTTCTATGGGGTCTTTGCAGCAAGAGATTGAAACAATGTACTGTAGAAACCAATAAAAATTATAAATAACCTTTATAAAACTGTATTTAAAAAACAGAAGGATTTTTAACCTTTATAAAACATTTTTTTTAAATGAGGGATTTTTAAAATAGTTTTTTTAACCCCCTACATTTGGAATTCTAGATTATTAGCTCAGCCCTGCACATACAGTACAACCTTTGTACTAATATAGGAGAGATAAGGACAACAGGAACGCCAAATCATGCATTTTCTTCAGAAGCTGCATGGTATTTTTTCACTGCGATCTGCACAGCACCCACAGAAGAGTTAGCAGTGAATGGAGTGCTGGTGCAGCTCTCACTGACAGTACTGCAAGGTCAGTGTGCCATGTAGGCATGCAGCACGCTGGGATATCCCTGTCTTACCCAAGCCCTCTCACCCTTGGCAGCACTCAGGCAGTTGTGCACCAAGAATCCTCCATGATATAGACCAGATACAAACCAGTGCTACATTAATTACAGCATTCACTCTTTGCGCTGAACAACTGAACAAGCCTTTTTTACTGGTAGAGGCCTCCTAGCAAGAAAAATCATTTTTGGAACCTGGTGTCATTAGCATTCAACGCCAGTAACCACACAAAGTGAGAAATAAACCTTATGCTGCTCTATAGTTAAACTGCAGCAGGACCTTAAATGTATTACATGTTTCTGGATTAATTTACTGAAGTTTATTATCTGTCACCAAGTTAAAAGTCCCTTCCAGTTTGTTTAATCTTGCTGATTAATTGGTATAGACTGCTCTCCCAAGATAAACCGGCTTTCACTGGAAACTATTTTTTAGCTCTGCACCAATGAGAATGATAGTTTTAGAATTATCCTAATTCTGTCATGAATAAATCAGGCATTGTGTTTTATGGGAGGACTGTATTTATGAGCTGCACAGGTTGCTGTAACACTATGGTCTTCACACATCCACAGAAAATGGGTTAGTCAGTAGCTGCTGCCAGTTTTTCCTAAGAAATTTCAATGAGCTGTTATGTGACATTGCAGTGGATCTGAGGGGTGTTCTTCACCTACTGTACTGTAGGTGTGTTAAAGATATACCATGCATGAGGAAGCCTTAATTATTACGCAAGTAAATAAAACAAGTGTAAAAAAGCCTTATCTGACCTTTATAGAGAAACTTATTTGCATACATGTGTAGCCAAGGGAAAAGCATTTGCCGTTCATCAATAACAGGGAGTCTTCCTTCTCAAATAATTCATTTTCTTTGTGCAGAATCTGAGCCTCAGTCCTAGCTTGTTTTGGGGGAAACGCTTCAAACTTTGTCTGCAATCACCTAGGTGGCTGGGGAATAGAACGATTTTTTTAAAAAATTGGAATTAGACCCAGCCTCGAGGCCTCAAGAAAAAGTAATCAACAACGAAAAATGTACAACGAAAACAGGGAGAGCTCTGTGCTCTGAAAAAAGTCAGAGAGCAGAAGAGAAGACGTTGGCCAGACAAGAACTAGAAGCTTGGGAGGTTATTTAATAATCCAGCAGCAGCAGAAGAAGGAGTCTTAACCTTCATGGTACCTTTTTCAAAATAATATGTAATCATTTACATTGTGCCTGAAGGTTTGCAAAGTGGCCGCATGCTGTTGTGCTGTCAAAGACATACTGTACAGGGCAATCTGAGCGAAGCTGTGGATAATTTCCAAGAGCCAGACATTCTGCAGTGGTTATTTTTGTTCCGTGGTTCTGTAGGGATTCTTTTCTGTGTTTTACACCAGTTTCAAATAAGAGTGCAGGAAACGTTTCGGACAATGGTTGAATGTGGAAAGCGTCAGGGTTTGTGAGAGTCGTGAGGTAGTTTAAGATGAAGGCTGGACTGAATGCTGTGGTCACCACTGAGGTATTGGAGGAGCTGAATTGTTCTTCTCTCTGGGGATGTGTCAGTATTTTGTCAAGGAGGCTATTAAGGGAGTAAGTGGCTTCAATTTTTTGTCCAGTTTATTTTTTTTCGTCTTACGTCTGAGGCTTACAGAGACCCTGGGCTCCAGTTTGCCACCCTTTGTGTTACCTGCCTTGCACGGGGCTCTCTCAAAAAGAGGGAGATGAGATCATTCCCAAGCGATAACCATCACTGCGTTTCTCCTGATTCATCTCTGACCTGAACTTCGGATGAACCTGCTCAGATGAAAACAACTGGAATTCCTGGCCCGAGCCATAAAATTTGATTAAGTCTTCCAGAAATGATGTGTAAAAGACCACTTCACTACCCCCAATAAAGTGAAATTAAGTAGTGTCTGTAGTGGATTAAAATAATAAACGTTTCTGTGTTTGAAGTGTGTACAGAAAGCAGGCTCCCAGCAGCCGGGGTACTGGGATGTTGTAAAGGTGGTTATTAGTGACATTTTCAAGGATTCAGCATGTTTCTGATCAGCAGTTCATGTTAGGGAAAGTAGTATTTAGGGAGGGAGAGAGTTTTTACTTTTGCTGGAAAAATTCACAACTGCAGTAGATCACTAAAAGTGTTCTTTTACCAGAGCATTTGATTTTAATCCTGGGATAAAGATATAAGATTAGGACTCCTCTCTACCTCTCTGATTGTGAGTGTGCTTGGGACCTCTTGTGAGTGATGGATCAGATGGTAACGTCTGGCTTTCCAACTTGTGGAGACCACAGACAGCTCGCCCAAAAATGTTTTTTGGTCAAAGGTCTGCTCGACTGTAATGCGTTGGAAGTATTTAATCGGTGTACCACAGCCTGCATACTATCACTCCTGGTTAGTTTTCATTTCATGGGTATGTATCTAGCAGCAGTGTGTGTTACGCAGGTAGACACCCTTAAAAAAGGCACTGCTTAGAGTTTCTAGTGTGTAGTCTAGCCCATGGATTATATCACAGTGGTGCGAGGTGACGCACCCTTCAATGTTAACCCTGGCCAATCACTGTGATCTTATTCTGACTGCTTCTTTATCTGAATAACAGGTCAAACGGTGTCGCTTACACTGAAGGTCTTCCAAAACACCTTTAACAAAGAATGGACTCTATGCACACAGCAAGGTCAGGTCCCAATTAGTGGGATGCACTTGCATTGTGTAAGTCTCAGTGTGTGACAAGGCAAACAGTGCGTGGCGTGCAAGAACTGAACGCTTGTAACATCTTTGAAATTTCCAGCGCATCAGTACTGTTTGTTACACACTAAATTGCACATTTTAAACCGTGTTGTAAAAAAGTGAGTCGTTTGTCATCATCTCAAGTAAAACCAGAGGTCAAATACATTGGTGCTGCAGGGGTCTCTCTTCCTCCTGGTGATGGATGGTTGTCACGTTCCCTTCCTCACCATCTGAAGCAGTGTAGTCTAATGTGTAGGCCCTTGAAGATGGTTTTCTGTCAGGAGCTGGGAGTAATAACTATGGAAAATGCTACAGTATAAATCTTCATGAACTAGGTAATCAGCAGGTATCCCATAGGAAATAAAGGAGAATAAAAGTTTCCCTGAAGGGTTGTCCGGTTACAGGATTATGTATAAGTTTGCAATCTCTTTTTTGTTGCTAGTAAGTTTTAGCTGAAATAAAGACAAGACAAGACCCTAGCTTATTGTAAACAGCTTGACCAAAACAAATGGTTCAGATTGTATTTCTTTAATCCCTCTTCTGTTTCTCAGGCACTCTTTAAAGGCCATTAAAGTGTTTGTTCTTAGGACGTATTACTCATATAGGAAAATATCCAAGTGTGCTGCTGACCAGAGGAGAACTTTTAATGTCAACAAGTCATGGGAAGGGTTTATGAAGATTTATGAGTTCAGTGGGCTCTTATAATGATGCAGGGCATAAAGTGGTTTGATGGTATCTGTGCTTCTTTTCCTCTATCTAAGAGCCAGGAATTACACTGAGCAGGCTGGGATACTATATACCAATATGTTCTTCTGTCTTGTAGTCCGTCTTACAAATGACAGACGCTACTTTTCATTTACGATTTGGTATCAAATCAGATCAATGAAGTTATAAGTAACAAGGTGTAGCCTGTGAGCTGTGTGTACTCTGTTCTACCTATGACAGAAATGCCCTGACAAACATCAAGACATATCTGATGTGGAAAGTGTATTACTCATGTTATCCTCACTCCAGCAGACACGGTAAGGAGAGAAATTGCCCTGCATAGTTACCAAATAAGAATATCTATTTGGGTGCTTGGTATTGCTAAGTTACATGACCGTGTCCGATTAAAAATTCTGTACATAACAACTGGTGCTACCATCTTCTTCCTATAATACTATTCCAAATCATTTTGAGACTGAGTTTGTTGAATTGTCTAACAAAGGATAACCAATAAAGGTGAAAGGATCTGCATGTGTGTGAGTGAGAGTGAGTGATTTTGTTTTGTTTGTTGGGTCAGGTTTTATTCAACTTGAGGTGTGGTCCACCTTATCTTTTCTGAAGAATGCCATCCAGTGATCCTCACGTAGGTTCTGAATGTTATAACAAAACATAACAGCATTAAAGTCTACCATATGTGCTAACATAGCAATTAGAAGTTCATGAAGCGAATTAAAAGCTACTTTGCTGTATAAACACTAAGGAAGAGAACGTTTTCCCTGGCAAATAAAATGATACAGAAATGTTTATCAGACTTTTAGAAAGTTTTTATATTGCATTTAAAAATTGGTTGGAGAATAACTTTGTCCTTTGTGGCATCTTAAATAGTGTGAAAGTTTCTCAGGGCACTCCATCAGAATTCAAGAAAATGTGAAATTTCCTATCCTGGGACTTGCAGGCTATACTACTATAAACTGAAACATTCAGTGAAACGGAAAATCCAGGATAATTACCATCAGTTGTTACTAATTGTTTACTAAATGTAGCAACAGATGGAATATAAAACTAGCCGAGAAAAATTGCTCTATGCTGGGGTGGCCTTAAGTGTTCATGTGGAGTGGGAGTTTCAGAGGCTGTGTCAATAACAATATCTTCATTTTTCTTCATCCAGAGATCATCCAGGCTGCCTCTGTCCTTATGGAGCTGAAGGATGTGCTAGTGAAGACGGGCCTGAAGGAACGCAGCCGCGTCCTGCTTGGCCCCTTCTCTTGCAGCGCCGCCCTGGAGGCCAAGTGGTGTCGGCACAGTGGCAGCCCTGGGCCGGAGCAGGGCCCCCCCAAACTGCTGCTAGATCTGAAAGGCGGGCTGTTGCAGGCGAGGACCTCTCCCTCCGTCCTTTTTTGCCCGTGCTTCCTCTTACGAGCTTCTGCCTCTCCCTCTCCCTCTCCCTTTTCCTTCCTTCGCCTCTGTGTACCGGTGCTCACGGACCTGCAGCAGTTCCTGACCAGTACAGCATACGGAGCCCGACGGGCTGCTCTGTTCCTCCTTCCCTCACCCTGTCCCTGCTCTCCCCCGTCTCTCTTCAGCCTCCTGCCCTCTGTTGCCCTTTGCACCCCTTTCGTCTCCCCCTCTCCCTGGCGACGCCATTTCAAGAGCGCCCTCTCCTGGTTTTGCACTTTGTCTGTCATCTTCAGCCTCGCCTGTGCTGCTGTTTGAAGCCCTCCTGCCTGTAGAGCCAGTACAGCCACAGGCTATTATGAGCCACAGCTACTTTTCATACAGCCTTTTAACATCTGTCCCTCCAGGAGAAACCACATGTGTTTGAATGAACTTTGTGAGGACCATTGGTGGAATATTTTCATGCCTTTTAACCTGTTTAACACTAAATAGCCTTTTTCAGGCAGTTGTACAGTGCTTCAAAAATAATATCAAACTACTTTACTTAAATACCTCAAAAATAAGTTAGAAGGGTGCCTAAATCTCCCACTCACTGAGAACCCTATGAGTAATTAAATTACCTTACAGGACGTTTTCACTTCCAAAGGGAATTGCAGTACTAAATATGAGTCTGCCATGTAGGTTTGGTGGCAAATATTGCAGTTCACAGTATGTAAATCAGTTCCGTACACAAACCACTACTATTTCTGCCTCATAAGCATAGACCTGGAAACCACAAATTTTCCTGGTTTTGGCTTCAGTTGCAATTCGCTTATGTACAAATCCATGTAAAATTTGTTTTTCATTCAGAGTTTCCGGCTGTGTCTGCCAGCGCTTCATCCTCAGCACATGGAAAATAACATTTGGTTTAGTTGTCCTTCTCAGAGGGTAATGAGAAACATGGCACAGAACAGGATTTAACGCCCGTCTTCTTGGTCCAGGTTTTCTGGGGACAGGAGCATCTGAACTGTCTGACACTTGTCCAGGAGCACCTGCAGGGTTATTTCCAGAAGAGCTGTTCTGGAGAGACAAAGCCCAGAGACCAACCTCAGCCACAGACGCCTCTACCCCAGTCCGGACCACACTCCCTCAGAACTGAGCACACCTCCGACGACCTGAGGACAGGTCTCTTCCAGTACATTCAAGACTCAGGTACTTTCTTCTTGGGTCTGACCTTAGACCCAAGAAAGACTCTGACAGAGATTCTGCTCTGTCTTCATGATCTTACACCCCCCCCTAAAAAACTCTCTGCTTATGTAGTTTGGAGAGGGCCATTAAAATCCTTAGATATCAGTAAGGATATTTTTTCCGAACCCTTAGAAGCACCAGATAAGATAAAGGAACGCCAGACATCAACAAAGGGAGTGATGAGATTCTTGCAGAGCACACAACAACTTCATGTAGTCGATGAGTAAACTCAAACCGAGACCTAACCAAAGACGGTTTTAAGAGTCTCTTCATAACAAAAGATAAGGTGTTTGCAATATAGTGTCCGTGATTCCCATGTTGACATCACAGATTGTATCGGCCCCTTAGTGTCCTGTTTGGTTTGAGGGTTTTTGCCATTTCCTCAGAAAATTAAATGACAGGCAGAACAGGCAGAAACATTCCAAGACTTTGACGTCAGTACAGCATCGGTGACCGGAGGTAGTGTTTGGCGAGACTCTGGCCTGCAGGACAGGCGCCATGAAGGAGTGACACACCCACGCTAGTGCTGAGGTACAACCAGCAGGGAGGCTGGGTAAGAGACCTGCAGTTCCTCTCTGGCCAGGCCGCAGTGGATACAGTCAGGAGGAGAAAACGTGTTGTCCTCCACACTGATCTGGGTGATGAGGCTGTTGCCAAATCGTTGTCAAACATCTCCCCTCTAAACTGCGGTTGCTGTCTCTACTGGGTTCATTTTTTGCATTCTTTACATGCAAAAAATTTTCTTTGATGCATTTAATACTGTTTCACAAAGTGGCTTTTAAATAATAGAAACTGATCTGCATACAATACGTTGCTTGAATTGAACCAAGGATGGAAAAAGAGTGCATGCCCTCAAGCCTTGATACAGTGAAAAACAGCTGTATTCATCTAAGGCTTATTCTCTGTGGAAGGTTAGAGTTTAAAATATACAGTAGTGTTTCTAAAAAAGGCAATTGTCAGGAAAATTACTTAATATACCACAGAAATAACAGCAAATATTTCCACTGGTGGCCTCAAAGAAATCAGTTTCTTTGTTTTCAGAGTGGATATCAAAAGATCGTTTCTGCTTTTTTTTCTGCTCTGACTAGCCTCCCAGAAGCTCCCCGGTACACATGAGGTGGTTTTCTACAATGAGACGGATGAGAGCCCGGGGGTCATGCTGTGGAGGTACCCAGAGCCCAGAGTGCTGACCTTTGTGAGAATAACACCGGTGCCATTTAACACCACCGACGACCCTGACATCAGCACTGCGGATCTGGGAGATGTGCTTCAGGTCTGTGTGCAGTAGAAACGTCCTGGAAATATCCCCACTTCGCAGACTGTTGCTCTTAAGCAGCGACTGTGTAGTCGTTTACTGTGTAGGGGGGGAAAATGCATGGTGGGGAAATGAATCCTTGGAAATGCTTCACACAGTTATCTGTTGGTCTACTAAAGTGTTTCTGCAAGCCAGCCTGTACTGTCTATGCCAGTATACAGGCACATTCATTGTGGTTTGTGTAGAGACACAAATGTGATTTTGAAGGGGCTTCCTAATATTCTTCCTGTTTAATCATGCTTCAAACTGTCAGAAGCTACTTTAACAAAGGAGAAGCCTGTCAGTTTTTCATCCTGTGTTTTATCTGCTCTTCAAAATCATCCTTTATTTCCCGGTCAGGACTGTGTCATATTTGAAATGGGTCAATCTAAAACTTACATTAAGGAGGATTATGAAATTTAAAAACCCTTCTTATCCATTCTTGTTAAAAGGAGATTAGATTCTCAATTGCACACCTTTGTGGACTTGACACCACTTCAATATGAATTTGGTTTCCTTAAAATAAATGTATAGGTCAGTTACTGAAATGATGTGTGTGCTGATAAACTAATGATCAGTATTATCATCTGTGAAGAATATGATCTGAAAATACCCGATTCAAGGGATCAAAGTAACTTTTCCCTTGTTTGGTAAAAACAGCTCACAGTATGCAATCCAAGACAGGAAGGCAGTCATCTTGCAATTACTGTACATTTTCAGAATCTGAAACATCTTTAAAGTAGCATTTTATGTGGATAATGTATTATATTACTGTGCAGACCTTGCTTCTGATTTCATAAATGTACATTTTAGGTACTGACCACCAGTTATTGAGAGTACTCTAAGCCTGATTCTGTTTCAATTTTTGATTTTCTATTTCTGATTCTATATCTTTTTCAAGCAGTTGTGTTCAGATCTGTACCTACATACACACAGCATCATCTTAACAAGATCTCGATGCCAATGGCAGACGTTGCTTTCTATTTTTCCAACGGGGAACGTAGAGTTTTCTGAATAAAAAGGGTGTAGAAAAAAAAATCAGCCCTGAAGGATTAACACTGAATCACAAAGGGGCTGGTCCTCAAAAATAAGACTGTTCCAAAGGTCATAACTGAAGCAGAAAGAGAGGCTGGGAGAAACCGTTTCAGCGTAACATTTTTATCCAGTGATGACACACATGGATTCATTGATGACCACGTGGAGCCAGTAATACAAGTGTCGAATTCTAATGTTCCCCCAGTTTCCTGACCAGCTCATTGCCAGATACAGGAGTGTGTATAGTTGTATCATGACCAAATATTTTATAGTAGACAAGGGAAATAACATTTTTATGTGGAATGATAATCTGGTGCTCTCAGTCAAGAGTAATGCTTTTTGTTGACAGATTTCTGATCAGAAACTTACTTCTGAGTCAGGGTGAACATCATATTCCACCAACACTTGCACCACTTAATTTTTTCAGTCCTTTTAAGCATTTTTTCCTTTGTTTTTTTCCCGAGTTATTAAGACTGAAGCACTGAAGGGTCACAGGGTGTTATAGATGTTTGGTCATTCACAGCTGCCGATTTGATAACTGGTGCAGACTATATTTATTTTTCTGGAACTGAGTCTCTCAAAGAGGTCACTATTGATGTTTTTAGGCTTCTGAGTTGATACCTACAGTATAAAAACATGTTTTGTGCCACAAGGGATTTCAGTAGTCAACAAAACAGAAATTTCTCTGTTACTGTCTGACCCTGTTTACTGTTACTGAAGAGCCTATGCAGCTTCATCTTCGTGAGAAACTATGTATGTTTGCTGAATTAGGTACTGTCACAATATTCTGTAGCGTTTGTCATTTTGTGATTATTTGTCTGCTCCTTGTGGGCAGATTAAATTGGATGAGAATAGTGATGTGAGCACGCTCACTTACTGCAGTACCTTAGTGTCTGACCTCTGTGTGAGCGAGTGTAGCTCTCTGACTCATCTGTAGATTTCACTTGGAATGCAAGTGCAATACTGCACTGAGTGGCTGATGTAAAAATCTGGGGCATACGGGTTTCATTTTATCGAATCATTGAATAGCATTCTAAAGTGGCGAGGAAAAGCAAAACCAGGTCATGCCTTGATTTCTGAGGACTTTTTGGTAGTTTGTTGCATTGTTACGGTGCTTTGCTTGACAAAGGATCCCAAAGTGCTTTAGATGGAGGAGGAGACCCACTTTTCCCACTGCGCATGAGGGTGTCACAGCCACTCTGTACCGGCAACCCAGCTGATAAGATTGAGAACCGAGGAACTGCATTACTCTTGGAAGTAAGAGGGAACTTCAGGAAAGCCCAATAGTGGAAGCTTAGGGGGGCCGGGACATTAGGATTAGCACCCCTACTCTTTCATAAAGTGCTATGGGATTTCTATTGTTAAGTAGTCAGTACTTTGGTTTTGGTTGAACATCTCGTCTAGTGATCTTATAGCACCCTGTTTTGGCCCTGATCAGGATACTGGGGTATTGGATTCAAAGATTTAGGTCCAGAGGTCAGAGCGCCACCTACTGGTCCTCCGCCAGTCTTGCCTGGTTGTCTCCCATCCAGCTGCTCTCCAATAACCTGGTCTCAATAAGCAGGTCAGCCACATAAAAAAATAGCCCATTGCAAAACTGGAGAAACGAGGCATGAGCTGTTTTAATTTACACACCTCCGTTCCTTCTTGTTAAGTTCTGTGTTTTCTTCAGATTCTTGTACCATATGCTCTTTAGTGTTAGACGTGTGTAGTTGCACGCCAGCCAGCTTTCCTGTAGCTGGGGCTTTCGCGCATCGGTTTTAAATAAAAGGGCCTTTGTCATTAGTGGGTCTATTGTGATTCTAATGTAATTGATTTCAGCCTCTGGAACTGGGGGGGGAGTTATATGCCTTTATGCAGAACTTCAAAAGGAGTGCATTATTTTTCATTTGATTTCTGGATAAAAAATAAAAGCTGAAATGTCCATGGACAGAGAAAGGGGAAATGCAGTAATAAAACTCAAAAACAGAAATAGCTCAGAATATTAAGAAAGAATTTCATTGATTTCCTTTAAAAAAGGGTAATTTCTCAGGGATCTAAAATTACCATAAGCCGACACCAAGGGGGACTGGGAACCATGGCCGAGGCTGTGCTTTCTCTTCCTATCCCTTCCGGACAGGAAGAGAGCCCTGATTCAGAGCGCTGAGCCAGAATACCTGAGGGGAATTACAGGTGAAAAGTCTGCAGCTGTGTTCATGTCACTACACCGCAGAATAAATGGGAAGAGATTTCCTGTGGAGAACCAGGATTTTGGTTAGCCTGGTGTCCCAAGAGCAGATCGCATTAGCATTTTATAAAATCAAGATTTCCTGCATTTAAATAGTTGTGGTTTCTCTCCTGGTTCCAGTATCTCAAAGGGGAACGTAAAGTGCTTCCATTATGCGAAGCAGAAAATGCTGCAGTATTGTTGGAAATACAGTAGGAGAAGAAGAAAACATCCGGAATGTCCTTCCATCCAGCAGTGGAACAGACCAGATAGCAGCTCATTCTCACCAAGGCAGCAACTGTGGTGTGGTGTGGTGTGGCCTGGCAGAGCTTGCAGACAGGTGGAATAATGGCAGCCATGTGGTTTGAGAGTTTATTTCAAAAAGATCATGTGCAGGGGAGTAAAGGAAAGTGCGACCGTTTGTTAAAATTGTTCAAATCCTGTAGTAAGGTCTAGTTCAACAGTCTGTTTTGGACTGGGGATTTCCAGCCTCCTCTGTCTTAAGCCGCACCGAAGCAGGATTTGCTGCGCCTTACTCCGAGGTTCAGTAATAGCCGTTTCTCATTTCACCAGGTTTCTTCCTCCGTACAATATGTAAGAGCAGAAACCCGCTGTACCGCTGTTCAAACAGCCTCTGCCATTGAATCACATCTGCGGCTCAATGGGTTTTCTTTCAAAAGTCCTCTTAACATTTTATCGGTTCTGTATTTCATTGCCTGAAATGATTCAGGAATTTTAGTGGGATCAATTAAGTTGCAGCTGGTGGTGTTGTCATAAGTAATTTAAGTAATTTGGGTCTGGAATTGTGGACCTAATTTATTTAGTCCTCTTTTTCTAACATACACCCATTTTTGCAACCTCATTAGGAAAAAGAATGGGCCCTTCCAGAGCTCTGATCCTGCCGTGAGTAAGTTGTATTACTTCAGTGCCGAAGATGGCAGTGGCCAACAGCTGATGGTCAGTTTTTTGAGTAAGGTTTACCTCCAGCTGATCATTACCATTTATTTAGAAATTAAATACTGTAGCTGTTCGTTCAGTGCAATTGGAGGGTATGTACTGTATAAATGTATTCTGCGTACTTCATTTTGAACTGTTTGCACCACTTCATCACAGTTCTAATATAAATAAATAATTAATTTAGGAAACCAACATCACTCCTCCATTCACATTTGTTTAAGCCTTAGTAACAAGATTTTATTATCATAATGCACTACATGTACATACAAAAGGATTGCAATACGCTTTGCCTATAGAACAGGACCACCTACTGGTCCAGCAAACAGAACTTACAACAGAAACCAGCTGTTCCTTGGAGGTGTCCCATCCTAGCATTGACCATGACCAGCCTTGTGTAGCTGCTGAGATCTGACGAGCTCAGGGATCAAAAGATCGCAACGCTGCTATCAGATGTAAACGATGCTGTATATAAACACCAGCTGTGGTTACTTGTAATTTATAACACTCTTCCTTGCGGTCTTTGTAATAACAGTGAATAACACTTCTGGATGCTGAAATGTGCGCTAACAGCAAGCTGCGTAAAGCAATCTACTTTAGAACTGGACTTGAGTCTGTGCCCTGAGGTTGGGGACAGACTTGGGTATGGTTCCCGAATTCAGCACTTTTAGTCTGGTTTCAGATAACATGTATTAAATACCTAGTTCAAGCAGGTCCTATATTTTGCATCCACCTTGTATCAGAAATTTGTTGCCTTTGTGAATCTATGCCATACTGTAGGTCCTGAAAACATATTGTATACTGTATTTCATCATAAAAATACACATTAAATATAAAGTAATAGTTTAATATGTGAAAGCTTGCACATGGCACTGTAAGTTTTGAAGGCTGGTCTGATGAACACATTTGTTATCAAAACAGATAAGGGTTCTTCATGCTACAGAAGGATAGGATAGTTTGCACCAAACCTTTTTTTTTTCCCTTGTGGAATCGCAGATCTTGGCCAAGCAGCAGAGGAAACACCCTTTGGAAAATGGGGGGTTTGTTTTCAGAATTCCCAAACAAAGACTAGAGGAATCTAGAGTTTTAGGGGATAGTTTTGTGTGTGGAACCCAACACATTTCAGGCAACATGAATTGTCCCTGAACCAGGTCCCTATCTAATGGAGCAAATAGCAGAGAGATCTGTCAGTTCTCGGAGCACTCCAGACATTACTGATGTTTAGTGGCTTGGGAAAAGCATTTCTCTCCTCTGTTTAAGTCCTGGATGTAAAAGGATGCATATTTCTGATAATATTTTTACGGTTTGCCTAATCCAAACTGAGTGTACTGTGTTTGAAGTACTGGAGAAAAACCTATTTTGGTATGGTCTGTTTTACTTTCATTATAATCTTTCTCTGACAAGGCCCAATAGCTCAAGTTAATCATGAAAATGAATTTCTCCTGGGTGAAAAGAGCATTCTTCATGAGAAGAGTGCTTCGGAACTGTCTCCCTCCTCACAAGAGGGTTGTAAAGGTTGGGATTCTGTTTGCAGTGTGCTACCCAACAGGGGGAATGTGATTCAATGGAGACTGGTTCAGCTGATTCGATTTTTCTCCAGCTAGTGAGTGCCACGACATACTAAAAGAATAATTAATTTATTTGCAGGTGCCCTGTAGCTTGGAATACTGGGACGAGCTCCAGTGCTCATTTGTTCCGTACAGAGAGTTCAGTCTGTCGGAGAGCAAAGCCTACGAACTGCAGCTGCCCAGCGTGAGCCGGACCAGCGAACAGAAGGAGCTGGTGGCCTCCGACCTTTGGAGGATTGTGCTGAACAACACTGTTGATGTTGGGGATGAGCAGAGGTGAGGTGATGGATACCCCACGCCTGTCCGGCTGGCTGCTGACAATAGACAATGTAGAACCGAGTGCCAATCAGAGAGAACTCCATGCTGGACATGGAAGACAGTGTGCTGTGTCTTCCACATCTGGAATGCAAAAGCAGTGTGTAGATTTGGAAGTGGTACAAATCTAATACAATTTCCCACCAGACTGACCACTTCTCATTAGTTTTCCAAATTCTTTCCCGTTTACCTTGGGTGTATCCGATTGGGAAGTGGAGAGTAAACTCATTGGTAAATGATGTTATTGAGGTAGGTCAGCTTGCCAAATAACACCTCTGCAACACTCCCACACTGCGATTCCCCGTTCTCTTACTAATCTTTTGGTTTGTATTACTGAATTGCCAAGCCCATATTCTGTGTGGGTTTAAGGGCTCCAGAGGAGCCGATTGGGAGAAATAACAAAGCATGTAATGAAAAGAGTCAATTCCAGTGAAAAGCAAAATACACATCTGTATTTCATTATAATCACTCTGAAAACAGTGCATTTCCTTAATGTTGAAAATTATTTGTCCTTCCTGATCAGAAATGATTCCCAGTCCGCATTTCATCTCACTTCATTCAGAACCTACAGAATTACAGAGGACTGCCATCGGAATAAGCTGAAAATTGTCAGCATGTGACGCTTAACTTTATCAGTTGCAGCAACTGTTATGAATTCTTGCAAGCGTATCATAATAGTCTTGAATCACAGTGGCAAAATGTAAAGGATAAATTAAATATTCTCTAGTCTACAACCTGCATTTATTCAGGTTAGTGGGCAATTTATTTTCCACTTTACAACCTTGTTATCCTTTCAGTTTTCCATCTATAACTATATCCTGTTTTGTCTGAGAACGCTCTGAGCTATTACTCCTACTTCCCAGCTTGTATAAAGGTTCTGTCCCACAAGCCACTATATGCGTGCACATGTAGAGGATGAATATTTTGCTTGAAGGGGAAAAAAAAACATTTTGAGACCCAAAATAAAACACCAACTATAGCGCACGCTTACATGTAATGAATGTAATTAATGAGACATGGGAGAGAGAGAGAGATGATGCTGTGAGGAAGCTGGAGTGTAAAATAGCCTAGGGATGTTGGTGGGGTCCACGTCTCTCTTACTCCGCTCCCCTCATCCACGGAAGGAACCCCCCTGCACTACCTGCTCTTTGCACATGCAGCACAGACCTTCCACGATCAGAAAACCTCATAATGCAACTCACGGGTGGAGTTTACATGACGTCAGATGTACTTGTGTTACGTAGGCAGGGAATGTTAGGAGAATGTTAGGAATGTCGGTTCTTGGCAGGTACTCATGCCTTCGATGTAGGGGCTTTGTTTAAATTTAAAAAATTGATTGGACTGAAACTACTGCAGCCACCTGAAGAGAAGTTCAGAATGGACCCATAGATTATAAGATCTATCCCTGTTTTTCCATATAATTTTAAATTTGCTATGTCATTTATAATATTGAAAGATTTTCATTATGCCACTCTACACTATGTAACTAGAACTGGAATTCTATCTTAAAGGATGTCAGAAAATCTCTTTTCCTGAGTACTTTCAAGTCCAGATTCAGAACCTTCTTCTTTAGGAGGGCTGATGTCTGTCTGTCCCTCTGCATTGTCTACCACTTTATTACAGTACATTTGCACAAATATAATGTCGATCAGAAATTGAATTATAAGTCACTTTCAGTAAAGGCATCAGCTAAATCAATACATTAATAATATTGAACTTGGCACCCAGTAGGCAGAAGGCTGAATTTCCCAGGGCGTGGTGTGTTTCAGTGTGCATTATAGCCGAACGGTAGCTCGGCAGCCCTCTTTGACAGCTCTTTGCTTGTCTCAGTGAAGGATTCTGTGCTCATGGCTTGCTCTCCGGCCGGCTCGTTTCAGCTCTGACAGCGAGACGGGCTCCCAGCTCCCCTGTGAGCAGCTGGTGTCTCCCATGGCCCTGGCTGCCTGCACCCGCGTGGATTCCTGCTTCGCTCCCTGGTTCGTGCCCTCCGTGGGCGTGGCAGTGCAGCTGGCGCAGCTGGAGCTCCGTCTTTGTCACCACCTGGAGCAGCTTGGCACAGGTACGGCACGCCCTCCCGGCTCCCGAGCCCGTCACCGGCAAGCAGAGTTTTTCCCCGTAGCGAGCCATTCAGACAAGAATCTGGAGCTTCTCATCTCTCGGGTCGTTCGATCGCTTCAGACATCCAGAGGCGGTTTTGATGAAGCCCCCGGAAACAGAATAAATCGAAGCTTGGAGAAAGAAACAAAGCGTACCAAGAGGAATGAGACGTATTAAACTCCTAAAACTATTAACAGTATCATTTAAGGAACAAGTAAAGGTATAGTCTATGGTGAAAAGAGAAGAAAAGAAACAACATTTCAGCTGTGGAGCCTTCCTCAGGCTCATCACGCACCTTCACACATCGAAACGTTGTGTTCCTACACATGCTACACATGCTGACACAGCTACCTACTTGAACCGCATCTTTCAAAGAAGCGTGGTGCTTTTGTCATGTTTTTAAAAGACCTTCGGGCTGACTCCTGGTACAAGTTCTTGACAGTGTCGTTCAGCACTTCTTCTCCCCTCCTCCACATGTCGGCCCGGTCCAGTTCCAGGCCCGTCAGCTGAATGTCTTGCGTGTGTCGCCGTCTCTCAGTCCCCGCAGGGCGGCTGCGGCCGTTCATCCCGGACAGGAAGCTGCCCCTGGAGCAGGAGTACCTGGTGCTCGGCCTGAAGCAGCCCCGGGTGTTCGCGCGCCAGTGGAGCACGGGCACCTCCCTCAGCCAGGAATTCCAGTTCTCCGCGGAGCTGGACTGCCGGCTGCTGGAGTACCGCAACCTCACCCTGCACAGCCTGGTCCAGCCCTTCGCCCTGCAGGGGCAGGTGGCCGCCTCCTGCAGCCCCACCGAGAGGCTCGTCGACGGCAACGTGTTCGTGGATCCCGTCTTCGTGGGCGTCGGCCAGTACACGGTCCACGCCCTGGACGCCGCCGTGCAGGCCTGGCAGCAGGTGAACGCTCGTCTGTGACGCTCTCACTCCCCCGCCTGCACACAGTGCCTTATCAGTTCAATGAAGTGAACTGCTTCCTTGACATGCTTCCTTAGTGTCTTTGCACTGGAGCACACATGCAATGAAATGCTTGTTTGCATGTGTGTGCTCCAGTGCAAAGACACTAGGAAAGCACCAGAATAGTAGCAGCAGCAATAAGAAAGTTAAATAACGGACAGTCTAAATAAAAGACTGTAGTAAGCAAAGCAGTATGCAAAAAAAAGAAAGAAAAACATCAGTGCGAGACAGTGGGTGAGGTAGAATTCAATAGTCTTGACATCTTGCAGGAAGAAGCTGTCTCTGAATCTGGAGGTGCCTGCCTCCTATCAGGGCATGTAGCTCCAGATCCCACCGACAGCTTCTTCCTGCAAGAAGAACGATGGCGATCGCGATTGCAAAGGGGAGCCTCCGTTCGGCTGAGTTAGCAAGCTCTGTGAGGCCGGGAGTGGAGTCCGTCTAGGTTGGCCGGACCTTCCAAGACTTGGTCCGGCAGGGAAGCAGAACGGACATCATTCGGTCACACGGTCCGAGCACAAACAGAGCCACTGAATCCGAGATCTCAATTTGTGGGCACGCACGAGATGGTTTAAGACACTGATAAAGACAAATCCATTTATTCCATCAGGTGTTTTAATACTGAAAGTGTGAATACCAGATAGCATAATATCTTTTAGTAAGTACTAATGTGCTGTGACATCCTCCTTCTGTAGAAGTCTTAGCAATTTGAATACCGTAAAAAGAATCCTCTGAGGACACACAAAATGTAGAAAAGATGTAACACAATGCTTTTTGATATTTTGTTGGTGTGATTTTTACTTTTAAAATTCAAGTAAGACAAAAAGCATCTGCTTTCAAAACAGTAGGGTATTTCATGAAAAACTCTTTCTCTTTGAGAAAGGAGGGCTGAAATAGTCATAAAAGCCACACAGCCTCCTATGTGGGGTTAGAAATAATACTTGACACGTAAACATTTAAATATTTGCACCACATCAGAGTCTGTGGGACTCGCTAACATGCCTTTAAGGAACATTCTGAGTCTTTTTTTTTCAAATAAAGAAAACCTTGTATATTTGATTAAGCATAACCTTATGTTGTGTGTTATGTAGCTGATAGGTGCATTCTGGAAATACTTGATTCTGATTGAAATGGGGATTTGGAAATGTTAACATGAACCACAAAAGGATATACTTTTGTAATTGTTACTGTAATTTTCTTGTTTCCTCATGTCAGGGCTGCCTGCCACCATATTGTGATGTGGTAAAGTTCTGCGCTGATATAGTCTATATTAAGGAACTGAATAATCCTAAAAATGGAGCGAGACTCACCACTGAAACAGACTGCAAATTATTTATTCAAATCAGGAGAGCATAAAGATTCCTGTCTCTCAGGATGGAATCGGCAACAGCCGCAGTAAAGAACAGTAGTATTTACACTTTGTGATTTCTCACAGAGCTGAAATACGGACTTAATGTTCAAAGCAGGAGTACAGAATTTTTTGGTGTTGTGAGTAATTTTTTTCTGTACCCCGGAAGGATCATTACAGGGCTATCAGATTCCTCAGAGCAACAGATGTGGAATCTCAAATAATTCTTTCATATTATAGGTGGAGCAGTAAGGCCAGATTATTGTAATAAGCTTTTGTTTTCTAATGTGCTTTTTCTTAAATTTATTTTTATATTCAGAGAACCATGCGTTGATGGTATCACATTATTACTCTCTGGATCGTTATAAATTTATTTTTATTTTTTAAACATGCTTTCTATTGGTAAGTAAGCAAAAAAAATATTATGATAAAAAATTAAATATTTCGACGCTGGAATGTTAGATACACATATCGAATTAGCCTGTAAGAGGAGATTTACAAATATACTCTGAAAATATAAAAGCAGTAAGAACTTAAAAGGCTTGATACCTCTTTGAATGAGCCCTGCATCTAAGATAGCTTTCCACTATAAAAGCGAGTGGATTTTCGCCTTTATCCCAGCTGTCTCTGTTGAATAAAAGACTCACTGTCAAGCAGTTTAATGGTGCAGACTTTCCCATGCCTCTAAGAGAACATGGAGCTGAATGTGAGACAAATGACATTCTCTATTGGCTCAGAAAAAGATTCAAGCTTACACTGCACTGCAGCTAAAATCTTTATTTTAACCCAGATTGAAGATTCACTTAAAGTGGTGTGGAAAGTCTTTGTAGCACGAAACAGGTCTTGAAAGGTTTTTGTAAAGGTGTCCCTCGACCTAACAGTTAGGGTACAAGGGGAAACGTTCCCCTGAAAATTAAAAAAAAGTCCTCCAGAACCTGCACACTTTGGAAGGCACACAAGTGATTCACAAATCCAGAGCATTGCTTCGGAGTTGCGTGGTTCTTTTTAATTTTGCAGGGAGACGTGGACCTTTTGTTTTTGAAAATGTTTTGAAAACCCTGAAGATGACGTGTCTTGGCCAGCACAGAAAGTAAACCTGTACACTGGGAAATATTAGCTGGCTGAGCCTGATTCAGACGTGTAACTAGTAGTTTGTTGTTAGCAGTGCCTCCCTGATGCTTTGGTTGCTGTACTTAAACTTACTGGTGGGATAACTGAAGTTTTCAAATGTTTTATGAATGACAATGCAAATGCATGATACAGTTTCTTCCCGGATTATGTCAGTTGTACTTACTGGGGGGGGCGTTGGTATTAAAAACTAATGAATTTCAGAAAGCAGGAAGCAAGAAGGAATCAGTACAGAGCAACATGACTTTTAATTGTAATGTGCACGGTACATTGTTGAAGAAAAACTTTTATTATCATATACCAGGCACATTTGAAAATGTTACCATTATTTGTCAAGTTTCTAAGAGTGATGTCAAAACAAAAGTCAGGTTGAGTACCTTGTTTGAAAAGGTTGTATCAAACCGTTAGTTATTGTTGTGCAGGTGAATCACTACAACATATTAGGTCACCTGGAAACTCCTAATGATTTCATAAGTCTTCCGAGAAGGTCCTGTCCATTAGCAGATTTATAATTATTTGACTTTTGGAAAGGTTCTGACATGATTCACATTCTTTTGGAGGTGGTCAGTCGTTTCTTGTTCCCAGTGCTGATGTCAGCCAGCCCTCCCCAAGAGTCTGTTTTGTGATAACTACCCTCAGGCACACTAACACGCATGCTGAAGCACACACACACAGCTGTGAAACATCTTTTTTGTTTTTTCCAAGTGATCTTATCCATGCTGGATGACTCTTTCTTCCTTTCAGAATCGGCATCCAGAGGCAGAAGAGCTGGTCTTCAGCCACTTTGTGATCTGTAACGACACCCATGAGACGCTAAGGTTTGGCCAGGTGGACACCGATGAAAACATCCTGCTGGCAAGTCTTCACAGCCACCAGTACAGCTGGCGTTCACACAAGTCCCCACAGGTATTACAAAACCACGTCTGATTAGGAAGCACGGCCTTTTGCAGAGCTGATCTCGTGGGTTGGATTTGGATTCATGGTTTTAATTAGTACATTCATTTCCTCCAAACATCCAGCATCCAGTGTCCAGATTGCCATGCACTGTCTTTCTTCTTGACCAGGAAGCAGTTTGACATGCCAGCTGTTTGACAGAGTTGTTAAGGAAGATTAATTGCTATTAGCCGTGTTAGGTTAGAGGAAAGTGTTCTGAGCGAAGGACTTAACTCATATTTTTCAAATGTGGGCCGTGAATGTCCAACAGTCTGTGACTCAGTTTATCTTTGATTCTGGAGAAAAATGTGTGAAGGCTCGAAACAGATTTGTGAAAGGTCATCCATAACGCAGGCACATTGTTTGGCAAGGTCAAAATGAGTTCGAAGTTTTGCTGCAAACAGATTCCATATAATTTGGTCTTCATTACCGAGTGAAGAGACAGTACATTCATTACTAACATAGGCAGCAAATAACTGCAAGGTATTTTATACAAGATATCATGTAACTTTGATTTTTTCGTGTACAAAATCAACATTGTGCTTACACAATTGTAGTAGAGACAAGTTAATATGAATAACTTTTCTATCAGAAGGTTATATCAAATGTTTCTGGTCAGAGCTCTTTTACAGTATGTCCTAGACATACAGTGTGGTGGGAATAAGAGAATCCATTGCTTCAGTAGGTTGCTATACACTTCTATTTCAGTATAATTCGCAAAACTGCAACTTGACTATATGAAGGAAATAGAAACCTAAATTTTCATTTTTTTCAGCCTACCCAGAGCTCCAGAGTTGTTACAAAGTGTGCACTGGGGACATACGTCACTTTATAAAACGGCTAAAAGGCAAGATAAGTTAACTGATAAAAAAATGGATTAAATGTGCAGGATACTGAGGTTTTCCTATTATTGTTTTTCTTTCAAATCCTGCATTACTGTATATTAAGCGATTTCTTTTTTTTTTTAAATCATAAACCCTGCCATGACTGCCAGCGTTTAAAACAACAAAAGTATTAATTAAGAAAGGGTGCTTGTGACATTGAGCCGGGGCATTTTCTTAATTGTTTCCATGCTGAATCAGCCCGTTGGACTGCAGCTTGTTGAAAAAGGTCACCGCAGTGCCACAAGTGCAGGCCAGCCCTTGGAATTGTCAGATCCGAGCGCACAGCGAATGACTTCATGCTTGTGAAATTAGTTCATTCCTCTTGATCATTCCCCCTGCTTCCAAGTGAGTGAATTTTAAGAACCGAGAGAACAGATCGAAAGATAACCGCGAAATAATCCACACCTCTCGCAGAGTCGTTCCATGCCTGCTGGCCCCGAATTCATTGCCGGGCTGCTCCCGGGAATAAGTTGAGCCGGAACAAGGGTTCTCGGAGCAGAGCGGGGATCCGGAGAGAGCGTCTCTGGCTGCAGCAGCTGGCCTGGGTCCTGGGTTCCTCTGTTTAGACACCAGAGGAGCCGTCAGCAACTCTTCAGAGTCCTTTCCCAGTGTCTTGCTGGGGTCCCTTGTTATGTTCCGGGTAACAGAATTAAGATGAGAGAGATCACTTTATTGGCCCTATACAATTTCTTGCAGTAGGAATTTGTCTTTTCGCATACCCCAGCTTGCTCTCCATGAGACGCAGACACACAGACGGGGAGAGAAGCTTTGGGGTCAGAGCGCAGGGTCATTTATACGGCGCCCCTGGAGCAGCTGGGGTTAAGGGCCTTGCTCAGGGGCCCAATGGAGTAGGATTGCTAGCTGCGGGATTTGAACCGGCAACCTTCCAGCCGCAGGTGCGCATCCTTAGCCACAGAGCCCCCACTCCACATATGTTGGAATGGGACTTGCTTCTACTCAAGTGCACAAGTGGAGTGTGATCATGTTTTCTTGTACTTATTCTCTCCATTCTCTCTATTTCTAGACCCTGTGCAACACTAAGAACAGTGTCTCTCCTGTGCTGGCTTTATGTTTCTTTAGTGGTACTGAATACGTATAGTTTAAATGCCTGTCTGGTCCTAACAGGATGTACAGAGTGATGGAAGTCCTTGTGGTTTTTGTGGTGAAGAGGGAAAAAATTCTTCTGAAAAAAACATGAAGTGCCTATAAGGAATATCCAAAATGCAAATAAATTGTGATTTATTTTCGACATCAGGAATATTTAACAGTTGTACTTAAAAAGTTTAAAGGAAGAAAATGTACTGTATCCATCATATTCCTTGGCTTTGTGTTCAGGCAAGAAGAAATACAAGTTTGTTGCAAGTTGTGGACAAATACCTGCAGGTAATGAGGAGGGATGGAAAAACAGGGGTTGAAAAAATTAAGTGGTTCCTGGAGTTCTTCTTTTTGCTTATTTATGCTCAGTAATTGAGGTTGTACTCAGGTTTGCTTGCTTTTCAAAATTCATCAGTGCCTTCAGTTAGTGTCCCGTGTTGGAATGCAGCAAGGCCACCTCACTCTGTCCCTTGGAGACGTCATTCTAATTGCAAATATAGAAGCAAGCTTTCAGTTGGACTTGACATTAAGAAAGCAGTCATTTAAAAACTATGCAAAGAACATGATCTCTTAATACAAGATGTGAGAATTTTAAAATCATGGATATCTGTATATATCTGAACAATGAAAAAAAAAACGTTTTTGTTACAGGCAGACACAATGTCTCCATTCCCAGAATTTCTAGTAATACCTAAAAAATAATAATTCCTTGACACATTCTTGGCTTTCAAATCCAGAAAAGGATATCTAAGTATTAATGATGACTAACTTTGGCTGCTGATGTTGGTGTATAGTTTCCAAAGGTCATGGTGCTTCACCAACAGTGTCTGTTGTGTTAGTGTGCAGTTGGTCACAATAGACTCTTAGATACCTTGCCAATTTTAATTAATCTTTAAATTGTTCCTGTTCAGTCACTCGTGCTATAGTGCAGTGCAGTATAGCAGGTTTCTTTACTCTGTAATATAAATGTTCAACTAAAAAAAGTACATCACCGCCAGTGATGTCATTTTTTTCTTGCCTATGATTTCTCCCTCTTTTGAATCCGCGAAGAATGAATTATTTTTCATCAGCATCAGTGGAGAGCTTTTCTTTTTTTTTCTCGAAAGCGTGGCAGGGTTCCGCCGTGTGCATGCTCTGATTTGATCGGGCTCCAGCGTACATCTGATCTATCGTTCCTGCTACCCGGGAGCGCTTAATTCCCTTCATGAAGTGCAAACAGATATATTGTTCTCTGCGGATGGAGCGCTGTTAGAACTGACGCAGATCAGCGGCCAGAAGGCAGACGAGGCTCTGCTGAAATGTTTGGGTTTTGAAGCGAGAGGAGAATAAGAAAGTGATGCCAGGATGGGAAAACAAGTTCTCCGCTGCACATCTGGGTTATTTGTCTATATTTGAAAAGTGATCAGTCCTTTACTGGTACAGACTTTGGCAATGGAACATGAGTTTTAAAGATCGCTCTGTATATTGTTTTTACTGACTTGGCAGCAGAATGTATTTGTGTTTTAATTTTACGTGGTAACCGGCCATGAGTATGATGTTTTTATAAGTGGATATTGTATAAACAACATACATATAAAATATGATGGATAAATCAGCGTCATTTTTATGTTGATTGGGGTGCCTTTTATTTTTGTGAACGGTTGTTTTCCTTTTCGATTTTTTTGAGTCGTCAATGTGTAAGTAGTTAACAAAACAATACACTTTTCTTTCCTGAGACGGTTACAAAAAGTGTTTTTTTTTTCCAAGATGGGGACCTGCAACATTCATCTGTTTGGGTTGGCCGTTTTGTGAGGAATAATTAGATAGAGAATTAATTTTTTTTTTTCCTTTTTCGATACCAAATATTTTCCGCAGCTGAAGTACACCAAACACTGAAAAGTTTTAAACTTCCTAGATGATCACACATGTCAAAAGCATTTGTTACCAGGCTGCTTTTTCCTTCGGTCTTCTCCTGATTATGTCTCTGAAAGGAATGAGTCAACTTGAATACTCTTACATCAGTCCACAGCCGGATCTCACCTCCTTGGGTTTCACTTCTGTGCCTTGTCTGGTAGCAGTACAAGGGTCCTTTTGTTACCTTGTAAATAATAATAAATAATAAAGTGGTCTTCTAATTTTGAGCTACTCCACCACCATATTTCTGTTAACATCTCTCATTTTACTGGCAGTCCCTTACAGTGCTGTTTACAATAAATGCTTCAACACTACATGACTTGGGCAGCTCCCTTCATTACTGGTATTATTAACCAAAAGTAAGGAGAAAACTGCTCATGTGCGCTTGAGATAAAAAAGTGTTTCTTTCAGAGGGCTTTTGAATAGCCCTTCTCCCACGCAACAGGGACCTTGAGTGTTACATACATTATTCGAGCTTCCAGTTTTCACCATTTTTTATGATATTTCTTTTTTACCTCCCAACCATCTGCTTGCTTATTAGATTTGGACGAAGTTATTTAACTGGGGGGTGAGTTAAGTTTGCCTCTTGCTAATGCGTGTTTCCGATGACACAGAAAGTGAATGTCTGTTTCTTCCACTAACAGCTTCATGCCCTGCGCTTTATCATATGTTTGTAGGATATTCATGAGTCATTGGTATCCTCATGAATATCACAAAGCAGATTATTCCTGGTGAAGATCATAGCATCCTGGAGCCTGTCCTGGAAGCACAGGGCTCAAGGTGGGACTAACTATGGAGAGGGTGCCAGTCCATTACAGGGCTCGCGCACACAAAAGCACACGGGAAACATGCAGACTCCATATAGAAGGTTGTCCAAGGCCCAAGAACTGTGAGGCAGCAGCGCCACCTGGCAGTCACACAATTATACTGTGCCCACTAGTCAGATTTAATGCTCCGTTATTAAAACAGTGGTCAGTGTAAAGGCTAGGATTGGTGTGAGTAGGCTGTCAACAATGGAAAGAAATGGCTTTCACGTGATTTCATTTTTACTGTGGTTTCAATTCGCGGCTTTAAGGAGGGAGAAAGCTTCTCAGTTCCGAT